TCCATTCTAGGTGAGTACGTGCCGTTAAAATGCTCTCACGCAAACTTTTTAGTAGTATATATATATACATATATATAGCAGTAATATCCAGATAGCCTACCACTTTATCTTGTATCATTTTGTATTTTTGATACGTTAAGCGCCCTATTTAGCAAATTGTTCACGTTAAGTGACGTTATCATTCAACAATTTCGTAATTAAAAATTATACAACACAATATTCTATTAACAAAGATTGTCTTTTTGTATGATTATTGTTTAAGCCGGAAAAATATGGATATTTGTTTTTGCAATAAATTAGATGTGTAACTTGCAAGGTAAAAATACAAATCTTTGGACATTTTTAGACCTGGTTGTATCCACAAGGTTCCTCGGCATTCCACATGCATAAGCCATTCACTGACCTAGAATTCACAGTAATGACCCCATACATTTTAATAACTTAGCTACATACCAGATGCCCTTAATCCTTTTTTATGTCACAGTAAGAAAAATGGTATTCTTGGAAAGAAAAACTGATCACCCTGGATGGATGGTAAAGTTTCATAACAAAAAAATGCATCTCTTCAAAATTGATGAAAAATGAAACACTTTAGTTCGTCCACCAGTCACATAGTTGTCGCGGTGTATTTGTACTCATTAATGAAGAAAAAACAAAACTCAAAAATCGTATTTATACACAGTTTTTTTCACAAAAGAGGGTAGTAACAAAAGTGATGAATTGCCATAGTCCTAGTTCTTAATAAGGGTGTTATAGTTACGTGATAATATAATAATTTAACGAATGGATTGTAATCAAGATGCAAATGGAAACGAAGGAAAGTGTGATGCTACATAAGAGTTCGAAAGGGAAACAAGAGTTACAAGGAGTGAGAAACACAAACAGAAATCATGTTGGTAGAAAACAAAATGGATACCCACCGAGAAATAATGCAAAGAACAATAGATGAAAAGTTAAGAGAGACGAAACGCCATTTGTACCAAGAAGAAAACTTTTCATGGACCTCACTTTGGAGGGATCCATAACCTGTAATATCCTTAAGTGAAGAATTTCAACATATTCGAGAGCATTCCTGTCTGCAACACTAAGGGCAATGCTTTCTAGTCATCCATTGGTCTTCAGAAGCCTAAAAGACAAGATCTCGCATCAGACCAATTCTTTGTGCATTTATCAGTTCACTTAATCTTGTGGAGCTAGATATATTGGTAGTTCGACGTGTACTTTTTCTAAAAGGGTTAAAGACCACTAAGCCACATGGTTGTAGAAAACTAGCAGTAACTCTAAAGTAGTATCACACTTTCCTTCATCTCAATTTGCATCTTGATTACAATTCATTCGTTAAGTTATTTATCTTATCATGTAACTAAAACAACCTTATTAAACTCCTCCTATGTATGCAAGAACTATGCTTATGGTAACTGATCACTTTTGTTACTATCCTCTTTGACGAAAAGAGCCTCTTCGTTGTGTTACTTGTTTCTTCCACCAATGCCTCGGTGAAGATTATTCATCATCTCTTGTAAATACCAGTTTTATACTGTAAATATTTTTCCTTTTAAAAATTACCACCTTTACAAAATTCAGGGAACACAATTTCACATAAAACCCGGTGTGGATGAGAAATGTGATCCAAAAGAAGATCTAAGAAAACCACATATCAACTAAGACGAAACAGACATTCTCCATATTTTGCTATTCCTATTTTCTTTTTACAAGAAACCGATCAGTGAATACAGAATACTACTTTCGATAACTACTTCGTTAAGTTTTATATTTATTTATCCATGATGGTTAGAGAATAATTGATGTTGACAACATTATTATTTTTCAAGCAGCATAGAATAATTAATGTCAAAATTCCATGAGATATATGCGAGTAGATTTTTGATAGATTATATTTCAAAACAAGTTTATGTGCCAGTATTCTTATGTGTAACTGGAAGTATAACTGTGGAATCTAATTAAGAAGTTGTCAGAACGGATATGCTTCTTTGATTAGTCAGTCCTTCAAAATTCATAATGGGCGTATTTAGTCAATTCTCACTATTTACTTACTCCAAAGCTTTTCCATCGTAGGAAAATGTCTCAGTAATCCTGTTCAGGAGTTTCATGGTAAAAGTCAGGTTCTTTAAAACTGTGTGAATTTGAATCTTTTAGTGGTGACGGTTCTTATATAGTGTTATTCATGGTCGCAGTTCTATTCACTGTCTCCGGCAAGAGTTAGAAATTTGTGAGTTTGATTTAAACTGTTAGTAAAAACGATGAGTATAAAAGCAGAATAGTGAAAAGCCAATGGTCATTGCTTATTAACTTAAGTCGCTGGATACAGTTTTCATCAGCCAGAAAGCTTAAGGGTAATGTTAAATTCAACCATGTCACCCTTTGCGTTCCAATCGGAACATAAAGATTCAGATTTTGAAGTCTCAGTAGTGATGGTGCCATTTTACGGGATGGATAGCTAACCTTACGACTGACCTTCTGTCCTTCCAGGTGTACTACTGTCTAGTAAACTAGGCGAGGTTTAAGAATGTATCGTTTGAGAAGCACACTCACGAGTGAGTTGCGATCATTCTGCTGTTGAGTCATCATCCCACAGACTGATATGAAATTCACAAGTAAGCCATTAACTCCACCTATCTGTCTAATTTAGCTCAGTTCACTTATAACACAGTATATTGCGAAAACTCACCAAGCATTCATTCAGTGTCAATAGTTCAATCATGTGAATAGTGGGGGATTTCTCTCTGCATTCCGTTATTTTTCCTCCTTACGACGAAGTATAATAACTCGGTTTAACTTGGAGACAACGTCGTTATCACGATATGGCATAGACACTGTACAAATGGACTAACTACATTTTATTAATGCTTTCGAAAGACATTCGAACTTTACCTTTATGATAAGTTGAATCTGGCCTTTTACTGATTATTTCAAAAGATTTAACTATCTTTTCTCTTCGTTATAAATAAAATGAACTGAGATTGCAATTGAAATGTTTGAACTTTTATTCTTTTACACCTAAATTATGTCCACTGACGAAATCACATACTGAGTTTTGCTGAAACAAAATAAATAACTGACTAAACGCAACAATACCAAATTGTGTAAGTGTTACATCCTTCTCAGTTGACTTTTCCTCTAATCTTTAACTTTTGATATAGCAACTACAGATGTGTCTTAAATGGTAAGAAAGTTATTTTCATGTTAATCCCTCTTTAATGTCTAAATACCTAGTCATTTATTCTTCTACCGTGTGATGAAATAAAGTTCTCTTCTAATTGCTCTGTGCAAAATATTTTTCATCATATTTCCAATTTAGATCAATGTGTTTACTGATAACACTGTGGTGAGTATTCATCTCTTTCTGTTCTGATTAAAAACAGAAAAAATAATAACAACTATTTTATGCTGATATCGCTTCGAATTCCCGGAAGGCTATTTTCATTTAGCAGAGCAAAACTAGTGAGTACTTGAACTCTCTGGCTTGATTCTTTACGATTTATTTCGACAGTATGCTTTAAAACAACTCCCAGTCAAGCAGAAGATTAGGCTGATAAATATCTCTTGTTTTACTGAAATAATATGAGCAAATTTCAAGATCCTATTCAGATTCTACTCGAGCGATGGCCTGCAGCTCAATGTCATTTGACGGTTTTTTCAGAGTCCTTCTCCACTTTCTCCTACATATTTGCTGAGCATTAGGTTCATGGTTAGTTTGTTCCCACAGCTTCTTGTTGTTAATTCTTTCGGGTTAGCGATCTGGTCTTCAATGTATAGCCATCAAAGGTAGTTATTGATAAGAGTTTGCAACAAGCGCTTCGAAATGCTTTTCGTGATGTGAACACCATGTTTCTTATCCATATAGAAGTACTGACTGATTTCACATTAATGTTGAAAATACAAATCTTGTTCCTTATGCTGGCTGTTTGCAGAAGATTTCCAAACAGGTTTCAGGTTGATGAAGGTGCACCTTGCCTTTCCGATTCTGGTCAGCTTTGATATCTTCATCTGTTCCGTCTTCCTGTGGTTGAAACGATTCTGTCTAGATAAGTGAATGAAGTGAACTCTTTCGAATTTATTCCGTTGATAGTGATTGGTGCTATTTGTTGACACTCTTGCGATTTTGCAGTCTTTTAAATATATATAAAAAATATATTTACTGAAACCACAAAGATTTTTAAAGAAATAATTCCAAAACAAACTGGTTCCAATTTAAGGGAAATACTCAAAATTAAATATACACACGTGTTGTGTATATGTGTGTATGTTGATCAGCCTCAATACTGATGTTCTGCATGTAAATCAAAAGCATTTCGAAATAATAATCATCATGAAATACCAAGAAACTAACTGAAGATAAAACAATATTCACCAAAAAGCCCTAGATATTAGATATACTTCAAATTTCCAGTCGATTAGTTTTCACCATAAACCAGTATAAGTTGCTTTGAAAAAATTAAACATTCTTCTCTATTGATTAACTAGCTCAAAATGTCAATTTTCAGCCTGTTTACGGTCTAGAGTTGTAAGTTGATTTAAAAAAAAATAATTTAAAAATGCTCTTTTGTAGTCATGAAGTAACGCAGATGAATAGGCTTTAAAATGAGAGAAAAAGATATTGAAAAATTTCAGTCTATCAAATTTTATGTCATGAAAATTGAAACACCAAAGTTTAAAAATAAAAAGTTGTTATCTGGCAAAGAAAAGATAGTATTATAAGCCGACAATTACAATCTAAGGTAATTAATTTTTCTATCTAACTGGAAGACACCATTACACTGATTAAAAGAATAAGGCAAAATGCTTGACAGGATGTTATCCCAAACAGCTATAGTTAATAATTTTGCTCTAGATAAGTTTGACTAATATTTAAATTGTCTGTAGGACAAAGACCTGTGGAATCGATGATAACCAGTGACAATAACCTTATACATAATTCCTTGTTATTTCATTTACAGTCAACAGAAATGTTATTACAGGTCAACTCATAAACCACTTACCCGGTTACGACGACAACAAAATCCAGTATATTCCAAATATTCCTTAGATAAGAACCACTATGAAGTATAAATCCAAGTGCAATAATTTTCAAAAAGGCTTCACATGTAAAAATGCCCAGAAAGTAATTTTCTGTTATTTCCTGTAAATAAAATAATAAAATAGTTGAAATATCTTTGAAGAACAACATGAAGGAAAAGTGATATCATACATATACACTGAAAATTATATGGGTACTGAAATTAATTTTTTTTTAAATATCAGGCATTCGATAGTCCGTTATGAAGTACACAGTAAAATACTTTTATTTAGAGTGATGTTAAAGGATGCCTGTAAATTCACTAATTTCAATGAACAAGTCCTGCTAGTCTGTGGCAGTGAATATTGTTTGATAGTTATATCTAAGTAACAGCCCTAAGAGTTAACGATATAAAACTGTAGTATATGTGGCTTACAGCATCAGAGATGCTCAGTCTTTACTAATGCCCTAGTGGCGTTTATTCAAACTGGTTTATTTATTTAAAAGACTACATTTTACCACTGTTTCGACTATATTATATTACTATTGTTTCCTTTAATTCCTAGAGGGCTTCAGCCTTGCGTCTCCATTGCGTTCGGTTCTCTGCTAGAGTCTTCACCTGGCTCCAAGTCTGCCCACACGTTTTCATCTCCTCTTCACATGACCTCCTCCAAGTCACCCTTGGACGACCGACTCGCCGCTTCCCTTTCGGGTTCCACTCGAGCACTGGCTAGTCTAGTGATGTCACTTGATGATTTCCTTAGAGTATGGCCAATCCATCTCCATTTCTTCCTGCCTATTTGTTTCACAATCGGTTTCTGGTTGGTTCTCTCCCAGAGATCTCTGTTGCTGATTATATATATATATATAGTCTTGAGCCTCTTTACTTGTAGGACAAATCACAATGGTGAATTCCTATTAATGTCTGAATGGTGATTATTCATGAGTTGGAAAGTAACAAGGATTTAATGGATTTCTTCGATACTCTTTCAAGCTTGATGTAGTGAACAAAAAAGAATTAGTTTTTCCAAGAAATGTGTCAATAATCATGAATACCCGAAATGGTTGTGGATAGCATTACGATGAAATCAAATGTATCATAATACAAAGCCACTTAGATGTCATATAGACGTCTATTGATTTATGTTGACTCCATTTGATCCCGTATCCCAGAACTCCAACTGAATATTTACCAAAGATCTTCAGGCCTACGCGAATTACTACCCTATGAATGTGAGAAATTCACGAAGCACGTTAATACAATGGCCAAGAAAAGTCTCATTTTTCTGTGACCCAGCTGTGTCTCAAGCTAATTAAACCTCACAGTTAATTTCCCGACGACCCTACTAAATTTGTGTTCAACTTTTCTTCAATAACTTTATCTGATTCGCAGCTAGAAGCCTTGTCTTTGGGCATAAAATTTTGCGAAATTACCTTGACCGTCGACAAACGATATAGCCATGTGCAGTTTGAAAATGTAATTAGCCTAGCTTATAAACTAATCCCAGCTTCTAATGAAGAATCACAACGATTCAAATAAACTATCATCGATTACTGCCACCAATACCTCAGTACAGAAACAAAAGTCCGCAACCACCTAACAAAGCAGCACCGAGAAGAATTAAAACAGTTGAGGGACAACAAAGAACTACTAATAAGCCGTCCTGACAAGGGTTTTGGCGTTGTTCTTTTGGACTGAAATGAATACATGGAGAAAATGAAGCATATACTGTCAGACAGAAGTAAGTTTCCTCAACTTGCCAACGAAAGAACTGAACTGATTGAGAAACAGCTTACAGATGCCTCGAAAAAAAGTGAAAAGTGATCAGCTAATTAGTTGCGATATCTGATGATATCCAACCATTAAGTTAAATAATACCTAGGCTTTATGGTTTACCAAAGATATACAAAGTTAGTCACCCACTACGTCCAATCCTAGATATGTCAGGTTTCCCGTATCATTCTGTTGCAAAATGGTTGGTTGATATTCTGGAAACTGTTAGGAAACATCTATGCATGTACTCGCTTCGCGACACCCCCCAGTTCGTCAACTGCATGCAAGATATGAATGTTACTAAAAAGTATGCTTTCTTTCGACAATAAATCACTTTTCACCAATATCCCACTTAAAGAAACTGTCCGTTTTATATGTAAATATATAGATGACAACCAGTTCAATACTGGAATATCAACAATATATTTGAAAGAACTGCTTCGGAGGTGTACTCACAGTGTGCAATTCACCTTGTTGATATTAGATGGTTCTGTGCTAGTTAGCACCCATCAGCAAGGCTTATCTAAAATCTTGTAAGAACACATGTCCCTTGAGAGATTCGAACCCTCGTCACCAATTGCTGCAGTCAGAGGCGTTACCACTGGGCTATTCGGGCTTGTGATTGACTTCCTGGAGGACTGTATTATATACTTTGATTGGACACTAACTAGTTTCATGGGTGACACAGCTTCAAATATCAGAAGGGACATGAGTCCCTTCAAGATTGTGGAAACGCCTTGCTGACGGGTGCTGGTAGTTACGAAACCTACGTTTAAGGCTTCCTGTCTATCTTCTCCAACCATCTAATATCAACAATTCAAAGTGCACCGTGATGGCGAGCCAGCTAGCATGGTGACCACATTGCAAAATTAACTGATAGAATTGAGTCTGTACCAAACAAAGGACTAGACACACTACTCTAGTTACTAACTGGAGTCCAATCAAAGTACAGTGCACTTCGTATGGCACCATCTGCAGATAAAAGGACGTTACTGCTATTGGATCTCCCTTGGGTCCATTACTTGTAGGCTGTCTCATGACTAGCCTTGAGAATGGTCCATTAAAGTCGACAATTTACAATTTACAACTTTATAAAAAGTATGTAGATGAAATTTGCATCATTTGTGACAATAATTACGACCCCAATCAATTACTACAAGTATTTTACAATTGCCATCCGGCAATAAAATTTACTCTAGAGATGGAAAGCGAACATAGAATTCTCTTTCTTGATGTAGATCTAACAAGATGACCCTACAGAACCTTAAGTAGGTCAGTCGATAGAAAACCCACTTGGAACTGTCGACTAGCAAGTTTCTACAGTTGGGTGCCTGTTGAACGAAGACGTAATCTAATTAAATACCTCACAACTGGGATCCGACGCATTTGCAGTCATTACATCCTGGAAGCAGAACTAGATCTTCTCGAAGAAACCTTCATCTAAAATAGATACCCGCCAAGATTCATTGACAAGAATATCCAACCAAAAGTCCAGAGGAAGGAAACATTACTTGTTCCAAAAAAGAAAATTCAAATGAACCTGGATTTCAAGGGACACTTAACCTGTAATATCCTTAAGAGGAGAAGAACATTCTTCGCAGCAACGGTAAGAGTAGTGTTCTCTAGTAGCCTATCGGTCTGCAGAAGCCTTAGAGACAAGATCTTGCTTTCGAATACTTGTGTATGCAAATATCAGTTCACCTCTTGCTGTGAAGCCATGTACATTGATTGTTCGACGCGTATCCTGCCGAAAGTGGTTCAAGAATACTATCCTGCACGGCTACAGAAAGGTAGTAGTAGCTCTATAAGGAGTGAAATAATCGAACACCTCGTCAACACTGGCCATTCCATCTCAACAAACGCCTCCTTCAAAGTAATCTACAAAGTGAAGAATAACCTGCCAAAGGCAATATGTTTTCGTCTCCTTAGTATTGCTGAAGCCTTAGCCATTCATTTAGAAAAACCAGAGTTATGCATACAAAACAAAATCATTCAATCACTTCCACAATCATGGTAACAACTGTGTCGATTTCCACTGACTTGATTTTTGTGTCCTTGTTTTCTCTAACTCCTTGTAACTCTTATACTTCTTTAGAACTCTTAAATAATCTCATATTTTTCTTCGATTCTATATGCATCCTGATCACAAGTCATTCATTTAATTCCAAATAAGTTTTAGAAATACTTCTGATTTAGCAGAAGTATTATTTATTTGTTGGTCGGATAGCAAGCTTTTTCTATTAACGATACAAATATGTCGAAATGTAATCCACTGTGCTACCGTAGATTGACTATGATGGAAAGTATCTATAAAATTTATTTTCCATAAAAATACTCATGAGACGTTTGTTTTTCATTAACATATTGATTAAAAATTAATCATAATATAAACTAGAAAAGCATTATCAGTAAGATGAACCACTGCATATAATATTGTTGGAAAATTAATTATTTATCTTACAGCAGCAATCCATAAAATTATATCAGATTATGCAAATGACCAATATATATATATATATAGGCTAGTACTGTTTTATACCAGTTAGATAAACCCGATAAGGGATATTGGTGGTCATCTAGTAAAACTACTGGACTAACACACCTTTTTGGCTAACTTAACAGAAATTCAGCATTATAAGTAATTTGAAGTATTCACTTCACAAGTTATCAGATACGTCGTTTAGAAAAGATATTTATGTTATATCAAGGTAGCATTTTCTGAATCTCATAGGATTAACTGACATCCAATCTAATTAAAATGTGAAGAGATTTAATTTAAAAATCGAATCACCTAGGTGAAACAGACTACAAAGTTTCATGCATAGAGTTTCTGCAATAATGATTAGTTGACCATGTGCTGTAACTTTTTAAGATATTGCTGTATAATACTAATACTTAACGCATACCGTGGAATAAAAATCCTTAGAAATGAACATAGTGATGACACATGTATTGGAAACAATCTATCCAAAATAATATCAGCGAAGTCTGATAAACACATACTAAAATTAGTTAAATCCATCGTTATTAAATAATGCCTAAAATGATGAAGGAATCTGAGCTGTCTAGCTGTTAGGATTCCTGGTTTTCACCCAGGCGGCCCAGGTTCTACTCCCGGTGCGGGAGCGCTTTTTTGCGTCGATGGCATAGCGGTTAGGACGCTCGCCAACCATGAGCATGGTTCGGGTTCGACCGCCGGCCGACACACTCATTTATCTCGCAAAGCCAGAAATAATGCTGATAAAGAGGAAAGGTTGGGCATGAGGCTAGTAACCCCATCCTATAAAAATTAAACACTGCTACAGAAACTTCAAGCCAATAGCTTGAAGCCCTATGTCCCACTGGGAACGTGAAAGAAAAAAATCTGAGAATGGATTGAAAATTTTCCTTTTAATGCACATAATCCCACTATATGACGTATTCGTTGGTATATAGCATCTCAGATACTTTTCTTCAATAATAATAACTAGGAGAGATGCCTCATTTAAATATAAACCTAACTCTCCTCTTTGTAAAATTGTTATTATCATTACCTTGGGCTCCAAGTGGAATATAGGGATTCAACAGCATGTCTTATTGGACTGAATGTATGTTATGAGTCCTACTCAAAATTGATTTAAAGTTTCTGAAAGCAAAGCCAGCTAAGAAAAGCTAATCTTTTCATAGTAGGACAATCGCCATCTTGTGGGACATCGGGTTCTGGACTGTCAAATTTAAAGTATATCCTGTAGTAACACTGACCACCCAAAACTTCACTATATACTTTCTTCTTCGTATATCATTTTGTGCAGAGGAAATACATTTTGAAACAGCACGCTTACTCTCATGCACATAAAGCATATTCAGTTCGAATAAAAGTCCTTGTTTCATTTTTCAACGACGCATCAAATTACCAGTAACATCCTTTTATTTCCCTTAAATATTTTCACATAAGTTTATGTATACTAAATTTCATGATTATATGGCTAACACATTAAGTACTTCCTGATATGATTATGTTCTCTCAGCCGGGTGGAGTAATTGCATAGCTTTCATTATTCTCGGAAACGATATTTCAAGAAGTTACACATTTTTTTGATATCTACAACCGAATCAAACTACCTGCAAGAAACCTACCCCATATGCTACAATAAAATCCACCCTACTCCATATGAGGAATAATTATGAAATAACGGCTAGAATACTAAAACCATTCGCTATAGATATTGCACAAAAACACCACAATTACTTCATTCATTGATATTCAGACCATATGTCCCAGAAGGAAAAGAACACAATATCAATACCTTCTACCAAATAAATCGGATCACCTTTGAAAACCATTATATTGGTCAAAGTTGATGTCCTCTTCGACTCAGAATCCAAGAAGCAAACTTGTCACCGAAAGATACAATATATATTCCTTCATATCAATGCAAATCGAGAAGTATGGATACCAGTTGGCTTGGGAAAGTGGGAACATTCCTAACAGCAGAAGTACTAAAAATGCCACGGAATCCCTAAAAGCCTCGTACTCAGATTTTTTTTTCTCTAAGCAGACTTATTGGCACAGATCATATTTATCAGCTAGTAAAGTGACATAGCAAAAATGACAAAAAGTCAATGAAAAGATCGACAGTAATACAAATCAGAAGCCAATTACAGCCAAGGTCACCATGGAGGATTCATGGAGGATTCAAAAACGCACTTCATACTGAAATAAACTGAAAAGTTGTTGTCTTAAAAAAGAATGAAAGCTTCTCAATTAAACCATCTGACTCAGAGGAAATAACCACATAAAAACATCCACCTGATTTACCAGTCCCCATTATTTCAACCGCAAGTACAATTTAGGTGATAGTTCATATGCGACAGTGATACAGAACTTTCAATCATTTCTGTTGTGTAGGGATGCAAGTGCATACACTATAGATATCGATGAAAATTAGTAAATGTGAACCTGACAGGTGAATACTTACATCACGAGAAGTAAATTGCCTTTGCTCAATTCTAAATGAATTCATAAGTTTTTACCAATGAACAGACATAAACTAGGATTAAACAGCTGTCTCATGATAACTGTTTTCAAATGCTTCCCTGGTTAACATTGGTATGTAATATACTAAATTTATGTGAATGAACATTTGCTGCCTCATGAGTATCAAGGAAAGGAACTTAGACATCAACCAGTGACCACACTTTAAAAAATCAAATCCTAACAAAGCAACTCTTGAGCAAAATGTATCTCAGATTTTGTCAGTTAAAAATAGGGCTTTAATTAACAGTACAGTCCATGTTATTTCATAAAACAAGTAATTTTAATTTCAAATTAACATACTACTTACCAGTTTTTCAGATAATGGGCGCTTGTCTTTATTTGGTAAGTGGACTTCCATTGCCAAAACAACACAATTGGCTATAATAGTTGACAAGACCATGTACTCAAAAGGCGTATACACGTCAAATTCAGAATGATAATTACAATTCCGATAACAATGGACAAATCATATTGAAATAGAGAATTACGGAAATAAATCATTTGGTTGATAATACGCACCGATAGGAAATACACAAGTTAAGGAATTAGCGCTCAGGTTGAACAAATAAAAGATTGCAATCGGATTATTTAGGATAAAGGCACAAGTAATACGATTAATTATCCGACTAAACAAAATGAATAATTCGAATGAATTTAGGAGAATACGAGAAACTCAAATCAACAAAAGCGAATGTTATTAACATATTTTGCTACTTTGAGTCTTGTCTTCTTTGTTTTACACGTTATGATTATTTCACCACAATGAATAAAAATGTACCCGCCTAATGTAACGATTCCACTATTAAAGCTGAAAACATGATCGTAGTTGCTGCACGTTTTAAACGAAAAGTCTGTTGCATTTGTTCAGTGTAGTAGGTACACTTGGAGAACTGGTAATTATTCTTATAGCAATACTGTCATTTTACTAAAATCAGTTACCCCACAAAATTTGTATTTTATTTTAAATATGCAAATACATATACCTATAGTTAGATAACCTAATAATAACCCTTCATTTCAAATAAATTAAAAAATTACGTGGTATTTTAGAATTTTTTTACAACACAAATGCATCTTAGTTTATTAGTTAAATACAGTCTACTTCTAACTTATGGTTACGTGGAATGTTTATTTTATCTCACGTTTTTGGATCAGTAAAACTTCACTAATAATTATATTCGGCAGTGTACTTATATTTCGAGTGATTTCCTAAACATGAACTTTCATGATAATTAATGCATCTGAAACAATGACAGAATACACAGTGTTCATTTTATCCTGTAAAATATTTCCTACTGTTTTCTGTTATATTATTATTATTCCATTGGGTTCCCAGTGGAACATAGGGCTTCAACAACACATCTGAACTTTGTTCAATTTTCTACTATCCTCTTCAGCTGGACCCTATGTGTCACCTGGAGTCCTGTATTCGCTGCCAGCCTTTTCTGCCAGTTTGTTGGTTTCCGCCTGCAAGTCTTCGAGTCTGTGTGAGATCAAACATCAATCATCCACGCGCGAAATCCAGGTCTTCTAGAGTCGCCTTAGCGGTCCAAACTATTCCTGTCTTCTCATTACTATCTTTTAATAAAACATTATTGGTAAATTTGGTAACATGTTTATCATAACTTTATACTTAATTTCGAGTAAACACTGGTAAAATAAGTCAGAATAAATTCATAAAACCAACAAGAGAATGTACTGCATCCATGTATTCATCATTTAATGTTATACGTTTGCGTTGTTTGGAGGAAGCTGACTTAGAAAAACAACAATTTAACTGCTTCTCATTTTATTTAAATTATAAAAAAAAGGTTTATCTTATCTGAATTCCCTGTACAATTCATATCTAAGGAATATTAGGATTCTATTTCAAACAAATCAATATAGGGTGTATTCTGATAATTTTAGACATGATATTCATTTTGAAATGAAATTATAATGAGGAATGAGCATGCGAATGCTTATTTAATCAGTGTTGCGTTCTTGTGGTAATAACGATCGATGAGACGAGAGATCAGTGAAGGAAGAAAGCACATTATAAAAACGTTTTTTATTACAGCTTGATGCCACACCGTATTTTCAGTACAAGTATGGAATTTACAGCATGAATATCGGTAGCCCAAATTTCGCAGGCCGACCATAGATATCGGGTGTGCGTCGGCAGGGGATCGAACCCCGGACCATGTGCATGGTCGGCGAGAGTCCTAACCACTGTGCCACTGGTGCATATTAATACTCAAACCATAGATGTTGAGAATATCCTGGAATAATTTGGGTGTCATATTGAATCACTATAAATTTATTCAAAATAATCCCAGAGTGTTAAAAAAATTGAAATAAGATTTTTCTAAACTCTGTGGTTTACATGACGAAAGGTTTAGAAAAACTTCACTTTGATTTTCTTAATACGTTGGATTATTTTAAATAATATTATAAGGCGATTCACACAAAATGACGAAGTATTCCAATTTATTCACCTCGTTAAACTGGAACTTATGTGTACTGTGAGGCTTGATCGTTCACTTGCAACAGGAGCTTCAGGTAATCCATATTATTTATAATTGTTTGCTCGTGAATAGTTTACACAGGGTTAAACAGTTATCTGCTGTTTTCCCCTTTTTCTCAACAAAAGATCTCTTCTTCACTTCTTTTTATTTTATCTTATATACTTTCTAATGTTAATATTTGTGTTGATAAGCGTCTTATCGTCTCGATGAACTAATATTGCATTATGCATTTGATGAATGTATGTTATTGACACACAGCTACAAACTATTATTGTTTTCTTGCGTAATGTCTGAATGTTACTCACCGTTTCAGTAGATATTGACTTGGTGTTGGATAAGATGAGTTTCTCAGTAGAAACACTGATATCCACCGGTATATATATATATTTGTGTGATGATTCCAGAATAGGACGAAACATACATTATGCATTCTAGAGAATAACAACAAAATAATAATCGATCCAAACACTATTATTTTGTCAGGAATTTATATGCTATGATAAGTTCTGAACTTGCTTGGTTCATCTGCCTTAACCTGTTCAAAAGTTACACCTCAAGTCATGTAATCAAACGCAGAATTTCGACAACAAAGGAAGTGTCAATATTTTCCTAGATAGAATTTCTTCCTAATATTGTACATATAAGTTTCTGAATTGGAATTAACTGTTGCACATCAAAAATTCAGTGATCGTAAATATTCTCTATTTACTTTTGTAATGCTCTTCAGTATAGTAAATCCATCATAACGAATGGATCTCATTTTATCATCATTCAGAAATCAGCTATATCAAAATAAATTTTGCCTGGAAAATGCTTCTTGTATTATGTATCACTACCTAATCTAATGTTTGAAAAGTTTATATACATATATATATAGAGAAGAGAGAGAGAAAGAGAAAGAGTCTTAATATCAATGAAATAATGATCTTTGTATAAGTGGATGCATAATCATTCAGTAGTGAGTCGGTGGCTTAGCGGTAGAATACTGGCCGACCACGCATGTGGTCCGGGGTTCGATTTCCGAGCGAAGCAATCCTTTACCTCTCAAAGAATATGATAACACAGACAAAGAGGGAAGACTGGGCGTTGGACTAGCTACCCCTAACCGTAAAATAAACACCACTGCTACCGAAACTTCAAAGCTGAAGCTTGAAGCTCTATGTTTCACTGGTAATGTAAAGGGATAAATTAAAATAAATCAATAATAAAAGTAGTGAGTGAAGGTAACCAGCTGAAATCATTGACTTTTTCAAGTTTTTCATTTCATATACGGTGACTAATTCTTAATACAAATAATTATTTGCAAGTTATACCGTTTCAGGTTCTATTTGTTGAATAAAAAGTAAGTAAGAATGGTTTATGTAGGTAGGCATGTAACCACTGCTTCATACTATTGATCAATTCCACTAATTATCTCTTTAGACTAAAGCATTTATTGATAGTGCTCAATAGTAGTAGTCTGCTAATCAAAGCTATCCTAGATAGTCACATCAACAATTAACAAACTTCACCTCCATTTCTAACTCAGTATTATTCATTAGAACATTTAAAATGCGAATAAATTTTGAAGTATTGGTTTTGTATGGATTTTGTTTGATTGGTTGGAGGATTTGATCAAGAGCTGACTGGAAAACCTGCAGGGAGTACTGCACAGCTGTTTCGCCAACCTAGTCTGGGACTCTTCAGCAGTACATACCCACTGGAGTTCGAACCTAGAGCCATCTGGTTACAAGGCGAGCTCGTAGACATTTTGATAAAAAAAACTTAGATAATATATTCCCACACTACATATACGTTGGTAAGTACTAGATATACATATTTTCATATCTGTGTAGATATACTACTTAAAAATCCACTCAGTGGCACACGCCACACGTTACCTCAGGTAAGCATTTTCCGAAAATTTATGGACGACAGCTATTTAACTAACCTGTGCATTTAATAATGAAAATTAACACATAATGTTTGCAGTTGTCACCTACTAACCAACTGATTTCTAGAAAGTATGCATAATACTGAGATAAGGAATGCTGGATATTAGGGTACAACTTTGTTTATAGGTGACGTAGCACGCTGATACAGTGTTATTTTGTTATGTTTTGTCCACGCTAACAAAAAATGCATTGTCTGCTTAGTTTAATTTGGAATAGACCAAAATACTGCTACATGCATTTGTGAAATACAGAGTTATATTATTCTACTGACAAGTTAAAAATGAGATAAAATAAACAAATCTGTGTCTATAGTCACGACGTTATCATCATGCTTTCATTAAAATTTTGCAAAATAAAGAATTAAAATCAACTCTTTTGAGTTATGTTGCATAGATTAATACAGCAGTCCACAGCGAAATTGGCAGCAATCAAAAGTGAATGAAAAATAAGTTTCTGCGGGATTTTTAAAGAATCCAAATTTTACATGTTGCATATACAACAAATTATAAAGCAACGCATTAACCGTCTTTTCCGTTTTAGCTTCAGAATCATTTGGACATTTATGATGATAATGTAATGAAGAATTTTAGGAATTTGAATTAATATTTTAAACGAATGTGTACGATGCGTTACACCAATCCCTATAATAACTGTTTCAAACCTCTACCTCAAAACAATGAAAAAAAGATTCGTGTGTTAACCACTCAGTCCAAAAACAGTGAAAACTGCCTTGGTTACTATTGTTATGCGCATACAATTTTCGATCATGTTTAAAGACTTTTAAAAGTGTATTGTTAAGTCATTTATTCGGTATTAAATATAATGAAGTGAGTTCTAAGGTGGAATCTACTCTGCGAGCAATGCGCAACAAAAAGTACTTAAAAATCCTCTTAACTTCAGCTTAAGCCTATTAGGATGAAGGTTTCCTTTTTAAATGCTGTGAATCAACTAGTGTGACACAAATCAAATAAA